CCTATAAATACATTAAAAAGCTATACAAAACTAGTCAAATCGCACCTAATAGGAAACAAAAAAAATTAAAATAAAATTAAGTGTCGTACATAAACTTCAATAACGGTGAATGGAAAGTTGTAATTTCTGATGTCCATTGAACAATTGAAGTAAAAAAGAAATAATTTATGAAGATGACGAACCAAACGTGTGCAAAAGAGAAATTGAAAATAAAATAAATGGAGTCATGTAAAATGGTAAAGATGAGAGAGTCAGAGAGAGAAGTATGGGTGACCGTTTTGGAAAGAAACGGAGTGCATTAAGTATTAGGAGAAATCACCTAATTGCCCTCTACGAAAATTTATTAGAAATTAAAATAGATGCTTCATCCAATGGCTCACATCTACTCTTTTTTACTCTCCTAAGATTAAGTTCTCACAAGAACCTAAATCTATATATATATATATATATATATATATATATATATATATATATATATATATATATATATATATATATATATATATATAGGGGTTAGTTCCTGTGAGAACACCCATTTAGGAGAGGAAAAAAGAATGATATCCAACCTTTGATTCTTTCAATCTAATGGCCTAGGAATTTTTGAAAAGGATGTTGATGGTGCATAATTTTCGGACCACTTTGGTTTTAAATATGGCAACAACGTAACTCAATATTTACTAAGGACACAATTGTAAAATCCAACCATGTAGTTATCATGCGTGAATCATCTAAATAGGAAGATATCCCTACAAAATAGGTGATAATTAATAACACATAACTACCTCAATTTATTCTAATAAATAATTTCTGGTTTTAAATTTCTTTATAAGATTACGTTCCTAGCTATTCTCTCAAATTGAATTCCACCGCACTAAATAATTTTAAAAAACTCTATTAAATTATTAGTATTTTTGTTTAATCATTTTATTTGAAGATATAATATTTCATTGGTTGTATATCTGCACTCCGACGTTGAATAAGTACACATATGTTCGAAATTTTATGCAACATTTATTCTAATAATTACTTCTTTTTATTTGATTAATTTCCTTCCAAAATTATTATTTTCTCACATTATTATTGGGTTAGTAATTATTATTATTTCATTGCTCGATTATGGTGAGTTAATTTGTTTGTTATAAACTGCACTTTTATGTTATTAGTTTGTACTTTGTACAATATTAATCTATATGTTACATATGAAGTTGTGCACATCCATACATATTTTAAATATAAAATTGAATACAAATATACAAGGATATAAACTATCCACTATCACGTGCATTTTATTTATATAGAAAAGTGCACTATTATATTACGCTTTGTGAAGTTTAGCGTTGACACTCTTTTACAAAATAATATGCACTTTATTGTGTGCATTTCAAATATATACAAAAGTGCATTATCATATATAACACTTTTTAAAATTTTACATTGGCACTTTTTACAAAATGAAATACACTTTTCATCCAAAAGCATCATATTTGTTCCATTATGATGGCGTCTTCTAATGTCACTGGTATCTGCAAACAAAAGTAAAATTGAAAACTAATTAATGAAAAGTGCATGAATAAAGTATAGTAAGTGCATCATAAGTGTAATAGAAAATGTATCAATTTATCTTAAACTTAGATAGATATCTATGATGTAAGTGTTCCATGTCTAACACGTAAATGCATAACATGACAATGTAGGTGCACTAATTATTAGTTCAAATCCACAAATCTATGAATTGTGCAACAATAATACATAACAGCGCAAGAACAAACATTTATTATTGCATCCAATTGAACAACCAGTATTCATATGAAAGCATGGAATACACATCTGTGAGTGCAATATTAAAATTTGCCTCTGGTGCAGACAATATAACAACATAGTGCATCGAATTATACATGCTAGTGCACCATTGACACAACATCATACCTGCAAAAAGGAAAAAATAAAAACTAATAAAAGTGCCAACCGAAGTATGATAAGTGCAGGAATAGTTAATTAGAATTAATAATTAAGATTACCAAAAAGATGGATTCAGTGTATGATCAATTCAACGGATGTATACAAAAAGTAGTATATATACTCTGTATATAGTAAAATTCAACACATCTATCACATCTCACCAAGTGCTAAAGAGATGATGACAACAGAGCCTCTCCTATCGTCCAACCCGGGAAGCTTTGATTGTGGGGAGGGAATCTCAGAGGTAATTATACTTCTTGCGCAAGGTGGAGAGTCTGATTTCTGGTGTTTTTTCTTGTCTATTTTGTTGGGGTTGGTTCTAGGAATACCGTTTTGAACAACCTTGTGCAAATAGGGATCCCACGAGATGTCAGGACACCACAACGCTGCTTTCACTCTTCAGCTTCTGCGATTTTGTGGCCCTATTGCAGAGGGGTCGTTTCTAGACGAGAGATACAGAGGAGAGGATAAGAGAAGAAGCAAAGGAGAGAGTAGGAGGAGACGCAGAGGAGAGGGTCGGAAAAGACGGAGATGGTTAAGGAAACTGAAAAAGAAAATTAGGGAAGAATTAATTGTTAGATCCTAAATAATCATGTACGGTTCTAACTTGAAAGAAGAATATGAGAGAATGACCTACTTACCCTTACACGTATGATCATACTAGAAGGAACACTAATTGAATCCAACGGCCTTGATCTATTCTTTTTTACTCTCCTAAGATTAAGTTCTCACATGAACCTAAATCTCTCTCTCTCTCTCTCTCTCTCTCTCTCTCTCTATATATATATATATATATATATATATATATATATATATAAACAAATGTTCATGTCCTGAATTCCGGACAGGAACCGCCGTCCGGACGGCGGCGTTTGGCCACCTTCCCAGTGGCATTTTTTGATGACATTTTTATGGCGTGTTCTCCATCAAGTCTAGTTTATCCACACAAAAGTTCAGCCAAAAACTCAATCGGGAAGGTCGTCAAATGATTTTTGCAAGTTAACTGGTCCGGAATATGTATTTTCCGGACCAGTTAAATTGCAAAAATCATTTGACGACCTTCCCGGATGAGTTTTTGGCTGAAATTTTTTGTGGATAAACTAGATTTGATGAAGAACATGTGACCAAAATTTGCATCGAAAAATTCCACTCGGAAGGCGGCAAACGCCGCCGTCCGGACGGCGGTTCCGGTCAGGAATTCCTGACCGGAAGAGTACTATATATATATATATATATATATATATATATATATATATATATATATATATATATATATATATATTGAAATATAACCTTATGGGATTCTTTTCAATACTTAAGTCTTCTATAAAAATATCTTAAACTTACATTCCATCGTCAGAATATACTAATAAAAAAAATAAAAATAAAAACGGGGCAAGGGACTTGTATTTTCACTTTTAAAATAGAGAAAAGAGGCAAATAAGGCCATGTACTAACAAAAAAAGGTCAAATAAGCCCATATTTGGGAGGCTCTATCCGGGCGTTATCATTCGGGGCGGTTGCCGGTGAAATTTTTTGATGAAATTTTTTGAACATCTTATTCATTGAGTCTAGATTGCTCATACCAAATTTCAGCTAACAATTCAACCGGGAAAGCATTCAAATGAATTCTTGAATATAATTGTGTTTTTAACTTCACCGTTATTTTCAAGAATTCATTTGAATGCCTTCCCGATTGAAGTTTTAGCTGAAATTTGGTATGCGTAAACTAGACTGAATGAATAAGATGCTCAAAAATTGTCATAAAAAAATTCCACCGGGAACCACCCGAAATGGCGACCGCCGAACAGAACCTCCTAAGTAAGGGCTTATTTGACCTTTTTTGCTTAGTATGTGGGCTTATTTGCCCCTTTTCTCTTTAAAATAAGAAGTTTAATGAGCTATTTGTCTTCCTTCCCAATTATTCTTCATTCCCTTTTGAAGAAAATAATGTACAATTTTCTCTATTTCTACATCTTATTCAGAGTACGGGTCCATTTGATGCTTAAATTGACTGAATCGGTTAATTATAATAATATTGAAGATCCAGTTGGCGTGGCTGAATGACTGAATCTATTGAATTATGAAAAATTATATTTTAAAAAATAAACTAAAATGATCATCTATAGTAACTTCGGTCAATTCATCCAGAAAAGTAACTGTAAACATAGTTATTTTAATTATTACAGAATTTAGCGTGAAATCAAATGTAAGGTTTTTGCTGAAAAAAATAGTTGGTAAGCTTGATAAGATGAAAAATTGAGTCATTAAAGGTATGGTTGAGAGTTGTGCTTTGAAGGGGAAGGGAAGCGTTATAATGTTTTTGACCTCTCCTATCTTATTTGGAGTTTAGAAAATTGGATGGAATGATTTTGGAGATTATATAACCTTTCAAATTCTCAATTTTCAAGTTCCCATATTGGGGGATTTTGAAAGATAAATAATTAAATGATACCTTTAACTTAATTAAAAATGAATATAAATTCAACTGTTTAATTTTGTCATATTTTCAAAGCGATTTTAATTATAATTACTCTTTAGTTATCTTTGCCCAAATTTGCAACTCCCCTTAATTAAAAATGAATATAAATTCAACTATTAAATTTTGTCATATTTTCAAGCGATTTTAATTATAATTACTCTTTAGTTATCTTTGCCCAAATTTGCAACTCCCAAAAAGGGTTTCCCTATTCCCTTCCCTTCATAGAACTGAACTATGCCTGACCATGGATCACACACAAAACAAGCACACCCCGTCAAAACGTACATATTATTCTGCATCATATTCAACCCTATTGAGGAGTAAACAAAACATAAAAAAAGCAACAAACCAAACAATCTTAATGGCATTCGATCCTATTGAAGGGAAAATAAACACAACTAAAAAAGCAGTAAAACCGAAAACGAACAATCTTAATGAAAATTAATGAAATACGAGTATTGTTACATAAAGTCAAATACAGAATTACACACCATTATGACTAGAATACACAATACAGAATTACATATAACATGAAAAACCACCGTCCTTTATTTAAAAAGGAAAAAAAAGAACAGAAAAGAAAGACAGAAAAACATCCTCGTACCAGTTTCCAGTTTGTCAGAGGTGGGGAGGAACTGCATAAACTGCTTATTAAGTGTATACAACAAGGGTATACAACAATTTAAGGGTCCAACCATAAACTTGGAGGTTCTGACCAAGAAAAGTAATTCTTGATCATGGCCGCCTGTATGATCATCGGATTATGAGAATCCAATTCTCACACTTGAAGTCTTCCCATATTGGAAGCCTTCTCATTCTTCATAATCATATGGAACAACGTTGCCCGATCCTCCTCCACAATCTCCCCGAGTAGCTCGTCCTCAATCTTCGGGGCTTGCCAGTGAGACGGGTCCTCCACAAGATCCTCACTGAATATCATACTCGAAACCCATTCCTTCCATGTTGTCCTCTTGTACTTCTCCTCTTCTAGTGTCCCCGTAGCTAAGAGTTGATAGACGTAAACGACCTTGTCCTGACCGGGCCGGAATGCCCTCGCAATCGCCTGTTTGCTCTTTGACGGGTTCCATTCTGAATCCAGCAAGATCACCCGTGACGCAGCAGTCAAGCTGATCCCTTCTGCACAGGTGGTGATGGACGCTAGCATTACCTTAGAGGCCCCTCCAGGCTCCTCAAACCTATCCATAATTCTGCCCCTCTCGAAAAGCTCGATGTCACCTTGAAGGACGAGAACTTCCACGCCTTTCCGCCACCCGTAGAACCGCTCAAATATCTCCAAGAAGAGGGTGATTGGGGCGATGTTGTGGCAAAAGATCAAAACTTTTTCTTTTCGGAGTAGACAACGCGGGATTAGGCTCATGACAAATTTGACCTTTGATCCTACTTTTAAGTCAAACTTGAATTTCTCAAGTGCCTCCAACTCTTCTGGCTTGAAGTATTGACCGGAACATGCCGTGGTTTTGATCAACCAAGGGTGGATCGCCCCTAGAGTGATGAGGAGCTCCAATTCCAGCGGGAACCCTTTGTATATAGGCCTTTGGTCTTGTAGCTTCAGAAGAATCTCTTGCTGGAGGGTCGTTGACTTCATCATCAACGTGTAACATTGTAATCCGGGAAGGTTTTCGGAGCTCCCACCTTCATAAACATCTATGAACCCCGTAGTGAGTTTCTTCAGTATGTTCAACCCTTCTTTCCTTTCCTTCTCTTTATCTGAATCGATCCTTTTAGATATTTTATCAATGAACATTTTTCTTGCTCGGTTTTCTAACGAAAACCGACTCTTTGTACCTTTTGCTTTCTCCTTGTACTTCGGGTCAAGCTCCTTCAACACCTCATCAACGAACCTCGGTCTCGCCAAGCAAAGAGTGTTGAAATACTCCCCAAAGTTGTTCTGAAACAACGTCCCAGACAACAGAATCCTAAGACTCGTGTCAACTTTCATTAATGCCTTCCTTAACCTAGACTTTGTGCTCCTAGGATTGTGTCCCTCATCTAGTATGACGATCCCTGGACACTGCCGTAAAACCTGGTTCATATATTTCCTGTGTGCATAGGTTGAGTCTTCGCGGGTCAAAGTCAAGAACGAGGTGTAGCCCATGAGGAGGACGCTTGGGTGGTCGAGCCACTTCTGCATCTTTTCAAGACAGTCCAAGACATGCATGACATCCTGGTTTCTGGGCAGACCGGGACACATTTTCATCTTCTCTCTCAACACTTCTCCTTTGTATGTTTGCCCACCGTGGATTTGGTAAACCGGGATCGGGATCTTCCACTTTATTATCTCCTTGTACCAAGTGTACAGAGTTGTTTTTGGGGCGAGGACTAGAGGACGTGACCCGGGGAACAGTTTCAAGTAGCTGACAAGGAAGGCAATGATGAGGAGAGTTTTGCCAGCTCCCGGGGTATGAGAAATGACACAGCCTCCTCTCTTCTTGCTCTCGGGATCTATTTCGGTTGGGATAGTTGAGCCCGCGATGTTTCGCCAAAGGAATTCAAATGCTCTTTTTTGGTGGGGCCGCAGCTTGTTTCTGTGATCAGGTATTAAAGCCCACACGTTATCTTCCACTTCCAATTTGGATGATGGTATCTTGGAGGAAGAGGGGGGGATGGTGAAGTGTTCAAGATCAGCAGCAGTGTCATCTTCCTGTTTTTGATCCGTGTCTTCCTCAGGTCTCTGATCCTTCCCTGAACCTGAGATTGTTGAAGGCATCTGTATGAAGACAAGAGGATTAATTACTATTGACTAACATAAGTGATTAACATAATATGAAAACCAGATGATGAGATGAATGTCTTCTAAAAGAAATCAATGGCTTGGATGTGATTTTGTTAAAACTGTTTTTAAGAAAAGTTAGTTTGATAAAACAGTTTAAGTTCTACTTAAAAGTAGTCCCCCGTTCCCCTAACAAAAAAAAAATAGTGCCGTCCAAAACATTTTAATCAAATGAAGCTAATTTTTCAAAAAAAAAAACATAAACCATTGGGGTGAAAAGTAATGAATTAATATAAATTGATTGTTACACAAGAACGCTCAAATGAGAAAAATATCTTCGCTGAACTTGGGGTGGGGCTGGGTTTCTCCCCACGCCCCCGCTTCCAAAAAGCATGTTTACCCTGTTGGAAGTGGTTTTTAGAATCACAACCAAACAGACTAAGCTTCCACTAGTTCTAGTTAATTTACTTTTCTCTCTGCATTGGATTATTGAGCAGAGGATGGAGGACAATATTTGTGGCACTGCAGTCAAGTAGTTGACTTACAAAGGGTGGGGGAACGTCCTTTATTTCAGTGCTCACAACTCCACATAGTCTACAAATAATTCCAATCTGCTCGTTGAGCCGAAAATCATGATGACAAACTTTGCTTCCATTTTTGGTTGACATATGTTGTTCAGTTGCAGTTTTTAAGTTTGTGCCCTGTAACACAAGAATAATGTCAAGCATATTAGGAAACAAAACCAGAAGGGATTATAAGTAAACAAGAAATAAATATGGGAGGGAAACCTGGCCATTTTACCTCATTGTCATCGAGAAGGTAACATGATGCCAATGCAAGTTCCATTTCCTTCCATAGCATATCAAGTTCTGACAATTCTTCCTCTTGATTCGTAGAATCTTTATCATGGCGCTCCCGCTGACATGACTTGTTTGACTGAAATTCTTTCCATTGATCCATAATTGGGGGCTGTTCCTTATTAAGAGTCGCATCGATGTTCGACATACACCTCCTAATCAATTCCCTATACACATTGGCACTTATGGACCCTTTTCTAAACGATCTTATGTCATAAACACTGTCCCTCTCGGAAGGAGGGATATCCCGTCTTTTATATCCTCTTTTTCTTGAACCCGTCCCGCCTTGTTTAAGATCCAGACCCATGAATTTCAACTTGGAGACTTTTGTTTGACCAGCCCAGCGCTTCGTTTTCATCAATTTGAATGAAGATCTGTTCATATGTATGTTAGCAGAACTGTTCACATAAATATATCTGGACACTATTTCTTTGATCTCTGCAGATATATCATCATCAACTTCAAACTGATGCACGTTTTCGTCTTTGCGAGCAGTGTAATGTTTCTTAGAAGACGATTGATGAGGAACGATTGAAAGGTTTGACTTGTCACCACCGGCCCGCTTTGGCCCGGATTTCGTCCCATTCTCATACAACTCGTTTTGGTTATTCAAGAGAGACTTATCGCGATCACCTGTCTTCATTGCATGGTCAGCTTGAATCGAGAGGGCCATTGGTATAACTTCTTCCACTTCACTTTTATACATCTTTCCTCCCCCGAGTCGGGTAACCTCAATGTCAAATTCAGTCAAATATTCATCACACCCCATGTACCGTTCAGGTTGTACGAATCTACGCTTTGACCGACGCAACTCGTCATACACAACAAGTGGGCCAGCCCCATCCAGCCTCCTCTCAGTTGTGTTAGGGTCAAACTGTACAACAACGGGGGTGGAAACATCATTTTCCACTTTGAAATTCATGGCATACGAATCATACGCTGAATCTGGAGCGTCAATGTCATTTTCATCCTTCAAGACCTCATAGACAAGCCGATTGTGGATCGATCGGACATCAAAGGTTGCTTCCTTATGAATGGATGCGACGAGGAGCCATGTGAGATCGGTGCAAAACTTTCCAGTGAATAACTTAAACGGCTGCAGGGCACTACAGTCTTCAGAGAAGCTCCAACGGTAATGCTTGTCTTCACAAGGTTTGAGCTCAAGTTTCTGAAGAATGGAAACATGCTGAAGTTTGACCTGTTTGATCTCTTTACTTAACGTTTTCTTCAGAATTGGAGGCGGGCCTTGTGTGACGTACACACTAATGTGGAACTGGCAGTCACATCCAAAGCCATGAGGTTTCCTTTCTATGGATCTTATTTTTGCATCAATCCATACCTGCAATTGTACATTGCCACACACTCACACATAAGTTATGAAATGGATCCAACGAGCATTAAAAACACGAGTTCTCGGGTACTTACGGGTTCAGGTTCTGTTTTATCATCTGTGTCTTCCTCCGAATCAGAATCTTGTGTTTGGTGAGGGGTTGAAAATACACATATATCGAGCCCAGGCCTTAGAAAGCAAGCACAGTCAGAAGTAGTGGCTTTCCTAGACCTTATTCTTACGTTTGATATCGAAATGTCCTCCTCAATCAAGTCCCCTTCATCTAAAATGTGCATCCCAAAGGTCCCGTGCTGAATTCTTATGCGCTCTACGGGTTGCCATGATCCGTCGCGAAATACCTCAAAAGCTGCAACAAACAAAAGGTATGACTTACCCTAATTCCACACTCAAACCACATGACAAATATATAGCTCAGACTACTTGGCATTAGTTAGTTAGGACAAATTGCATTACCATAGCGCCTCCCGACATAATTACAAACGACAAAAAACATTCGGTACGTAATTCGATTATGAAAATAAATGGAAATTTTAATTTTTAAACAAAAGCCAATAAGGCAAAACATATGAAATTTTTGTATCCCAACTAGTGTGCCCGTTTGCCTTCATTTTACATTTCATGATTAAAAAAAAAAAACACAAATGCCTCTGATTATACAAAGGAAACTTCTTACGATAAACATCAAAAGGATGTTGATTCTGATGAATGGTTCTCCTCTTCATAGCTGCTTAAAGTCAGAAGAAAAGCCTGCCAAGAATCACCAATAATGATATCATCACACTCCAATTTATTTATCTCTAATGGCAATTGGGATCATAATCCAGTCCCCTTTTTGTTAATACAAAAATAGAAACCAAAATCTTCCAATTCTAACTTTATTATCTCTGTATCAGAAAACAAACTCAATATAGGTAATAAGAAAAATAGTTCCCTGTTCTGCTTGAAACAGCACAATCCCTGCATTCTTTTCCTTTTAAAGCAAACATTTTATCAACTAATAAGGGGTAAAAAGGATGCATGGTTTGCTCCATCACTATAAAGATCCATTTTTTAATGCCATATTTAGTTCCACAGAACACCAAACAAAAACAAAAATGATCATCACAAGAAATCATCTACTTTTCAGATTGTTTTATTACTGATTTACTGTCCCCTGCTATTTCTTGCTGATTTCAAAGAATTAAAAAAAAAAATCATTTTTAACACTCTCTGTGACTCTGGCTATCTCTGCACGTATCTAACAACATAGATACATAAGAGAAGGTGTTTGGGCATGGTACAAACTCGCAACCAAAAAAATTCTTCCCAGAAACAGTAATGGCGGTACAGCTAAGCCACATTAATTATATTTATTTTAATAAACATATCACCTGAACAAAAACAAAACCCAGAAAAAAATAAGTAAAGGGAAATCAAAGCTGATCCCCACTGTTTCAGTTGTCCAGAAATGGGCTTTGATATATCAAAACGGAGAAACTATTCTCCGGCCATCATCAGCTAAAAATGATGGTCACTCTGGCTAGTCTCCGGCCGCCGCCGCCGCAAATTTGATTATTCCCTGAAACAACAAACACCCAAAACAGAGACTGATCAAGCAGAGCCAGTCAACCCCAGCATCTACCAACCCCCTGCCGGAGACAACCGGAATTCTGGGATTCCGGCGGCGAATCACAAGAAACGGAAAAAAATAAAAACGAAACAGAGAGTAGTCAGTAGTGACTCACTTCTAGGGGTTTGTACTTTCTCTAAGTAGCTTTTCTTTTGCATGCGCAGGTAAAAAGAAAATGGGGGAAAATGAGAGAAAAAGCTTCCATTGGGGATCGCGCTGTAAATGTGGATGAAATCCAGGCCCCCACTCCAAAATATAGGATAAAATATTCAGAGACAGATTTTTTTTATCAGTTAAAATCTTTATTTAATTTATTTATCAAAATTGCGTGATTTCTGTGCATATCAGTTACGGGTATAAATAATTCGACAAAAATGGAAACGAGAAGGAGAAGGTAGCAGCAGCATAATTTTTTTTACAGCTGTCGCGCGAGATGATGGCATAACAGTAAACGGTAAAATAAATGAATGATAAGGTAACATTTAATCACTGAGTGACTCTGTAGTGTGTAATGTATGTACTTTTTACTGCAGAATACACGTGACGTTGGACTGTAGAAATTTCTGTTACTGTTTTGCTTTGTTTTTTGTTTTCGTTTTTACTGCGTTTAAACTAGGTCTTTTGTAATCCAAGGAGTCCAATCGTTTTGGCTCCAAGTCTTTCCGGTTCCCCAAACGATTTTGGATAGGATTGTGTCCATTTGTAGGATCTTTTTGTGGGGTGGGAAATTTGCGAAAGTTGCGTGGGATGATATATGCTTACCAAAAGCGGAAGGTGGGCTAGGGATCCATAATGCTAAAATCTGGAATCACGCCCTCCTCTCACGTGTTATTTGGGACGTGCATAATAAAAAAGATACCTTATGGGTAAAGTGGGTTAACAGTGTCTATCTTAATGGTAGAAGTGTGTGGGATTTTATCCCACACAGTCGAGACTCTCAGCTCATGAAGCGGATGAGTCTCATTCGGGACAAATTGAGAGGGTGTTTTAATAATTTGAACGACACTATCATGGGCCTTAATTCAAGGGCCATAAATGGAAAGTTAATCTCGGGCAAGGTGTATGAGCTGCTAAGGGTAAAGGGTGAGACTAGGACTACGATGAGCTTCATTTGGAAGTCCTATATCCCCCCTAAATTTTCCTTTAATGTATGGTTGGCTTTACGAAACAGGCTTCCTACTCAGGATAGCCTCGGTTATCTGCATATAGTAAATAGATGCGACTTATGCAAGGGTGGTCTGGAAACAATACCACACCTTTTTTTTCCAATGTCCTTTTACATGTAGGGTATGGCAAAGGATCAGGGAATGGATGGGTTTTAGTCACCAAATGACCACGCTACTCAGTTCGGTCAAATGGATAATAAAGACGCACAAAGGTTCGAAGCTGAAGGCCAAAGCAGCTAGACTGGCATTCTGTGCCGCAGTCTACTACATCTGGCACGCAAGGAACGCGACAAGGTTTGATGAAGTAATGAAGACGGAGGAGGACATTGTTGCTAAGATCAAGATTGTCGTATATCGGATACTCTTTAGTATCTACCCACATGATTTGATCGTTTTTTGAGGCCGCGACATGGATATTATGGATGTAGCGGTTTGGACAGACTGATACATGACTGTTTGGTGTGCCGAGGCATGGATATTTTGGATGTCGCGGCTTGGGCACTCAGGACACCGCAACATGGACATCGTGGATGCCGCGGCATGAAGTATGGTCTTGGACTTTAGGGTGTGTGCATCTTGCAACACCTTTGTAATTTGTTTTGATTTTTAGCATCTGATCTGTGTGCGTGCATGTGCAGCATAGACGTATTTTTGAACCTCTTGATGGGTCAAGTATTATACTTGGTTATTTTGGCATAGAATAGATTGAAGAAAAACATCCTCTCACCCTCACATTATGTGGGGGTGGGGGAGGTTTTAGGATATCTAGGATATGTGATGTATAATTTTCTGGGTGTTAATATATATTTACATTTCATCCAAAAAAAAAAAAAAAACTAGGTCTTTTGTTTGGAGTTTGGACTAAACCCTATTTGTATTAACTAAAAATGTAGTATTAGACAAATAAGTAGTCGTACATGAGTATCATGAGGCAGCCCCGGGGGATGGGCCTGTGGGCCTCCCATGAAAGAGTCATACATTAACATCCCATGTTTCCTAAAAATATCACGAGAAAGATGAATGAGTGAATATGTTTAAACTTAGATTTACTTTAAGTCATTTTTGTGCAATATATGTATGGAGCCAAAGAATCATTATTTTTGACTTGGGAATATGATGGAATAAAGCAGAATGTCTCACTAAATTATCTGCACTTCTGTGTTATGAAACAGCAGTCAATCCATACAATTTTCGATGCAATTTTCACTATGGGTCATTCAGAAACATTCTCTCTGTGCTTTAGTACATGGGTAAGACTGTGTACATCCGACCCCCCTTTACCCCACTGAAGGTGGGAGCTTTTGTGGCACTGAGATAATGATGATGGTGATGATATGTATGGATGGCATCAAAAATAGGTTTTGTCACATTTAGAGAGGATATTTTCACCCTATATATTCACCCTTGTGTTTGGTCCTATGCACGAAAATATATTTAACAGTGTCAGCTAAAAGGAAAAAGTGCAGAGAAAAGAAGTAAAAGCAACCTGCATGTGCGTTTGTCTGAATGACGCGAAAGTAAATCTGACGTGTTAGCTGAAACAAACAAAAAGCGTAGAAAGGAGGGAAATTCAATTCACACATGCGCTTTTCAATATTGTATGAAAGTAAATTTGACAGAGTGAGCTGAAAGAAAAAGCTGCGGAGAAAGGAAGTAAAAGTGATCCACACGTGCGCTTGTCTAGGCCGCGTGAAAATAAATCTGACGTGTTTGCTGAAGGAAAATAACCGTGAAGAAAGGAGGGAATTCAATCCACATGTGCGTTTGTGTGAATCGCATGAAAGTAAATTTGACGGTGTTAGCTGAAAGAAAAATGTGCAAGAAGGAAAGTCAGTCCACATGCAACGGTGTCTGAATAGCACAAATGTAAATGCGATGGTGTAAACTGAAAGAGAGAAAAACAATCCACACGCGCGATTGTATGGGTCGCACGATTGTCTATGCAATGTTACTATTAATGTATTTGTCTCACACCGAAAAGCTATAAAAAAATAAAACATTATATAATGTTTTGGGTTATTCCTCATATCAGGGTGGCCTTTTAGGACGAAACCCCGAGTCTTAACATTGTATGAGAGCCATGTTAGGTTGTGATTTGTGTGCTTGTTAAGCACTCATGATTAAGAGTAGTTTGTTAAGGGCATGTTCAGCCCATTTAATATACATTCCGATATTGTCCAGCTCGGTTCGGGCTGAGAGGGCCTATTAATGTATTTGTCTCACATCAGAAAGCTATAAAATAATCAAACACTATATAAGGTTTTGGGCTACAACTCCAATCACGTTGACTTCTTTAGGATGGAAAACACGCACAATATGTTCATGTCAATTTCTCTTTGTTATTCGCTTTGCCGGCTTAATAAGAAAAATCAAATATAAATGCAATAGTTATGTTTCAAAGAAAAAATTTCTCTCCGTCTGAATTGATACATGTTGAATTAGGCTTTGTACCGGTGTGTTGCATGCACGGGTTTACTCATAAATATATCTATAGTAATACATAGTATAGTTAACTTAATTATATAGACAAATCTTCATGTCAGGCCGCCTGACGGGATGCTCCGTCCGGCCGAGCCAGTTTGGACCCCTTCCCGGTGGAATTTTTCGATAAACATTTTTGAGCATGTTCCTCATCAAGTCTAGTTTGTTCATACCAAATTTCAGCTCAAAATTCGATCGGGAAGGCATTCAAATCATTTTTTGAAGTTGACTGCGTCAAAGTATACATATAAAACATCAGTCAACTTCAAAAAAATGATTTGAATGCCTTCCCGATCGAATTTTGAGCTGAAATTTGGTATGGACAAACTAGACTTGATGAGGAACAAGCTCAAAAAATTTCATCAAAAAATTTCACCGGGAACGTGCCCAAACGGGCTCGGCCGGACGGAGCATCCCGTCAGGCCGGCCTGACAAGAAGACCACTCTAATTATCTATACATAACAATTACCCAATCTCAAATTTCTCAATCACACAGTTTTTATTGTTCTTATTTTTCACCTACTTTGCACTTGGCAAAGTCCACCGGGAGGGAGGTAATATATAAATGTGTGTTGTTTGGTAGCTAGGAGAAAATGAAAAAAAGAAATGTATGAAAGTTCCATTAGAATCATTTTCACATATTTCTTCTGGCTTAATTTATAGAGATACGGATTATGATACAAGTGTCATTCTATCACTTCACTTCAACTATTTTCCTAGCCATAGCCACTTCTTTTCTAAACCAAACAAGATAATTGCATCATTGTTTTTCAATACTTAACCAAGTACATCCACCCTCTCAGAAATTAGTTCCCCATTTGATTTCGCATGTCCGTTAGAAATTGAAAGTTTGCATTGAGATTCAAACAAAAGGCAAAAAAACAATAAACCATCTATTTTTTTTATTAAAGTGAGCATGAAGATTATTTTGAAATGAATGGGAAAGGGAATGCTATTTTTTATGGGATGAAGAAAGTATTTTTTTTTGTATAATTTACAACTGGATCCTTGATACGATGATCTATATATTGATCTTGATTCATGGATGGTGCATTATTGCATTAATTATTTGGTAGCCAATTTTAGTGAAGAAATAATAAGCATTTATGCTGTTTTGTCACTTCTTGTTGGAAAAGATATTTATTTAAGCAATAAATACTTTCCCCAATGTGATTTTGCATTGAACAAGAAGATGGTCTTATATCCTTAGAATTTTACATTGTTTTTACTTTTATTTGAGGTTTTTTCATAAATTATTCTGTTTCTTCAACTTATGTGTTATGAGTTCCAATTACATATAATAATTAAAACACAATTTTTTTATACGCCTTGATGTAATAATACACTAATACAACGTATCACGTATGTAAACTTAGTGTCATACAGTAGAATTTATGTCTTCATTCTTCACCACAAACTCAGTGTCACGCCCGAGTCCTCCCTATTCTTTTCTTCCTAAAATAAAAATGTAATACGTAGTAATAACTTAATGTAATATATCAGAGATTCGACTATGGTTGTTGTTCTTTTAAAGAGTCTTCCCCTAATCTACATGGTCTACGTTTTGTTTTAATAAGATTAAACTACCTTAGTTCTTTACATAATTCTTCTTCTGAACTAGTAACAGAGTTTTGGAAAAAATATCGAGATTGTCTTGTTAATTTTTATTTTAAGAAGAAATCATATCAATTATTATGAAATATTTTCTTTCTAAAGAAAGTGTGATGAATTTTGAGAAATAAATAAAAGTAGTAGACAAAAATAGAATGATGAACTACTACCTACCACTTTGTTTGAGTCAATTTTCCTCATTGTAATGCTTGAGTGGTTGAAGAATGACATGAATTTTTCACTCCTAAAGTCACTGTTAGGTTAGTATAAATGAAGAAAACATGTAAGGTCCTTAAAATTTTTGCTTACTAACAGAAAGAGATCTTAAAGTGCCGCTTACCACGCTTACTACGCATATCACCCTCTCATTTATTAATTAAGTGGCGACAATTTATGCCTTTTCAAATCCCCGGGTGGATCTTCCTTGTCCTCGCTCTCGTTTGGTGGAGTTTTGGTAGTCTTCGACTCAGTCGTGTGTTCTTCTCCGAGCTCAGCCTTCCGCTGACCTCCATATCCGTCTGAGCTAGAGGCCTCATCAGATAGCCATTTATTAAGCCTTGTAGGGCTGGTCTTTACCCTTCCACACGCTCTAATCCCCGCCCCATGTATTTTTCAGCTACAAAGCCTTCTTCATATTTCAAAGGACAAAACTTGTCAGAGTGACCAATAATACCACGGATAAAGCAAAAACTGGGCAGTTTTTCATACTTAAAATCA